TTATATATATATAAGGATTACGTTTAAATTGATGCATATCTATCTATCTATCTATCTATCTATCTATCTATCTATCTATCCGTTTTTTATAATCAAAGTTAGTCTGTTATATATACTCGACTCTCCCGTCGAATGCGACGTATGAGGGTCAAGCAGATCGGTTCCTAGGAAACCGACAGCCCGACATATATATATAAGGAAAAATGTATGAGAAAATGGAAATAGGTGGACGTGTGTCACATTTCCTTCTTTAGGACTTAATCGAAGTAAGCTAATGTTTACGTTGATGAGTCTACACATGCACACGATGAATAGAAGACGCTGAAAATTTAAATTATTTAAAAAATAAATACGTGTTTAAATATAAACTTTAACCAATTTCATTTAATTTATTTTCTTTCTGTTTTTATCAATTTTGTTATTAAATATCCAAGTGTGATAATAGAAGATCTACTAAGAAAGGTGAAATGTTGTAAGAACCTGGACATAAATTTATTGTAAATGTCCAAGCGATTAAAACATTTTCTATATATGTTCGTCATAATAAATTGTTTTTCTTTTAATCATTTTAAAAATCAAAATCATGGTCAGAAACATTACGATGAGCAACTAATACAGTGAGTGTATTTTAGTAAAAGATTTTTGTGTTTATATAAACTTAAGGTTTCGTTGATGTATTTCTTGTGGCAATTCTCAGGTCAACCCTTGACTTATATCGACATCGAACTATATATATATATATATATATATATATATATATATATATGTGTGTGTGTGTGTGTGTGTGTGTGTGCATACACGATGCTTTCTTTCTTTATTCTTCAATCTATCTATCTATCTATCTATCTATCTATCTATCTATCTATCTATCTATCTTTCACTGTCTGTTCATATCTATCTATCTATCTATCTATCTATCTATCTATCTATCTAAATTCCTACTTTCAGTTTTAGCGTATTATTTCGTTTTGTATTAATTAAGTCTTTTATTATTTTATCTGCAGTTGTAACTAATTTCATATTAGATTAGATAATTTTCAATTGTACGAGGGTGGGCTGGGATGTTCATAATCTGACTATGAAGAACTTATGCTAGAGTTGTGAATTGTTGCATGCATTAATTTCAACTCTTCTTATATTAATAACTGCATTGCTACCCTCCAGGTAAACTGACATCTGACTGTTCAAAGAAGACTTCAAAAGTATGTGGTAGCAACTGCTGTTGAAAATGGTCAAAATTTCGTATCGTGCTGTTATCAATTACCTTAAAAAAACGGTTTAGCCTCCAAGGACATTCATGTTGATATGGTTACTACACTAGAGGATGATTCTCCAGCTGTATCAACAGTGAAAATTGGGCAGCTGAATTTAGGAGAAGAAGGCAGGGTCTTGAAGATGGCCCATGGTCTGGACGTCCTGCAACTGCCAGCACCGAGCAAAACATTGATTATGGTGATGGATGGCAGGTGATTGGCTATAAATTTAAATAGACAATGCTATTAGCATATCGCGTGTGAATGTTGAGAATATTTTGCATATTGAACTTGTCAAGACGAATACTTTTGCTCGGTGGGTGCCACGTCTTTTGATAGTTGATCAAAGGCACACCAGGTTGATCATATCACAGGAAAATCTGACATTGTTTGAAGCAGATCCAGAAGTTTTCTTGAACCTTTCCAAATCCAAGATGAATGTTGGGAAGATCACAGAGTGACACTCCAAACAATGGAAACACCCCCCCCTTCACCTACTCCAAAGAAGTCCAAGGCCGTTTTCATCTGCAGGGAAGTTGATGCAAAAGGCATTGTGATTATTGAGTATCTTCAAAATGGCCATACCATCAATCGGGAGTGTTATGCCAGCTTACTGAGGCAGTTACGAAAGGTTATCAGAATCAAACAACCAGGAACATAGAGGAAAGTGTTCTTGTTTCATCTTTTCACACAAGATCTTGGTTTCAATGGCTGGCTCTTCACTCTCCCTATTCTCCTGATTTGCTCTTATAAGATTATCATCTGTTCCCCAACACGAAAAAAAACACCACTTAACCGGGGACCAGTATTGCAGAGATGATAATGACATACTTGCTGTTGATGACTTTCCTTTTTGGCTGCCAGGTCATGCAATTTAATAATTGTGTATTTGGGTAGCAACCCTTCTTTTATACAAATTACTATTTGTAGATGATAGTTTTATTTTAACCGCAGTACCTTGTCAGTCGTTTTTAACAAAACTTATATGCGCATGTGTGTGTATTTAGGCAGCATATGTTCATTCAAGCATGTTTCATTGAATAATAAATAAATATTATATCTATTTATTTTCATAATAACGCTTTCCAATTTTCCAACCAGTTTCTTGATGTTAAGATGAAATTCATCAAGAAAGGCACTTGACTATAAATCAAATAGCGAATACTATTAGGATATTCTGCGAAAGAGTTGAGAATATTTTGCATATTGAACTTGTCAAGACGAATATTTTTTCTCGTTGGGTGCCACGTCCTCTGACATGTGATCAAAAGCACACCAGGTTGATCACATCATAGGTAAATCTGACATTGTTTGAAGCAGATCCAGTTGGTTTCCTTGAAAGTTTCCTCGCCCACGATGAGTGTTGGGTTCATCATTTCGAGCCAAAGATGATCAATGTAGTGGCAACTCCTCCTCCTCACCTGTGCCAAAGGAGGCTAAAGTCGTTTTATCTGCAGGGAAGGTGATGATCAAAGATTTTTTGGAGGGTACTACGCCAACTTGCTAAGGCAGTTACGAAAAGCTATCAAGGGCAAACGCCCAGGAAAACTAGCGAAAGGGATCTTGTTTCTTTAGGACAATCCTCCAGCACACGAGTCCTTAGTTTGGTACCTGCTGTGCATGTCTATGGCTCTGAATTGAATTGGTTGATCTCCCTCCATATTCTCCTGAGTTGGCTCCATCTGACTATCATCTGTTCCCCAACATGAAAAAAATAATTAATTGGGTACCAGCATCGCAATGATGATGACGTCATATATGCTGTTGATTTTTTTAACCAACGGGATGAAAGCTTCTTCACCATTGGGATCAAAGCATTGCTACACAGATGGAAATCTGTGGACCACAAGGTGGGACTATATTGAACAATAAATCTCATGAGAATGGCCAGCCTATGAACTTTTCAATCGACTCTCGGAGTTGTAGTTTTCCATTTTGTCATAGATTATTACTAACATTGTTATTGATATATAACAATTTTTATATCTTTCTCCCCAAGTATATATATATATATATATATATATATATATATATATATATATATATATAGCATCATGTTTTATGAAGACATTTCTCATTAAATAATTTAGACAAGTTTTGTCTACTTATTTTTAATCGGATCCACTCATAATTACGGACAAGTTTCTTAGAATCCTTCTTGAAAGTAGAAAGAAAATTAGCATGTTGATACATATTCATTTTATTCCGAGTACTTTCGGCATTAACACAATGTCATCATCGGGGTCTTCATCAGAGAAAAAATATTGTCTCAGAAATTCTTTAAATTATTTAATGAGACATGTCTTAATATATTTATCTATCAATCTCTCACTCTGTCTGTCTGTCAGTCTGTCTCTTTTTCTCTCTCTCTCTTTCGATATATATATATATATATATATATATATATATATATATATATATATATATATATAGTTGTGTCTGTGAATAAATCAAAAGGAAATCTTAGCCAACGCTTTTCGTCCTTTGAGGGACTTTATCAAGACAAATGTGACACAAACTCTACACACACACACACACACACACACACACACACACACACACATATATATATATATATATATATATATATATATATATATATATATGTGTGCGTTTCTGTGCTTATTTATGCGTGTGTGTGTAAATATGTGTGAATACCATATCCATACATAGTTCTGTTGTTGCTATTGTAGATTTCGTGGAAATAAAGAGAAGGCATTATTTTTGGAGCGTCTCCCGTATGTATGTATATATATGTTTTACGTATACATATGAACGTGTGTGTGTGTTTGTATGTGTCTGTGTGTGTGTGTGGGAGCATCCTATAAACACATATCTTCCGATTATCGATTAGCCATTTTCTTGATCGATTGATCGGCGAATGGGTTACCAAGTGAGAAAAAAACTTTTAACATTTTTTTTTCTCATCCCATTTCGTCTCTCATTTCATTTCGTCCCGGCCATTTGCACGCCGTTCCACTTTTTGCCAATTTCATATTAGCATCAGGAGTGCGGTGAGAACTAAAAGCCGTAACTCGTGTCCCCCCGGGAACAAGAAAGCAAGGCAAAAATGAGCATTTCTTTTTTCGTTTTTCTTTCTTTTCTTCTTTCTTCTCTTCTTTTTTTTTTTTTTTTTGCTTATGTTTTTGCTTTTTGATAAGCAATTTTTTGAAAGGGTATGCGTGATCCTTGCAAATAATCTGGCTGGTGCTCATTTGCTAATCGTGAGACTCAATTTGGCGAGGATTGCAAAGATTAAATTGAAAGAGGCTACTTTAGCTTGGTTCGTCGACGTGATCGGGACGCGTTAGATTGAAAAGACCGGCTTAGCGTTGCATTGCCGGATTAATTCTTCCACGTACCCACACGCCCGCGCACACACACACAAGCACACGCAAAGTATGTGTATGAATAGAGGGAATTATATTCGCTGGTCACTATCTTTTTAACTTTTTATACTCTATATATTCATATCATATCAGGCATATATATATATATATATATATATATATATATATATATATATGTATATATATATACATCTATACACACACACACATATATATATATATATATATTAAATCGCCTGAACTTAAACTGTTTCAGTTCATCGATACACGAATCTCGTAAAGAAATAGTATTCTGTACATACACATATTTAGGTCTCTCTCTTATATATATATATATATATATATATATATATATATGCGTGTATGCGTGTGTGTGTGTGTGCAAGCATTCATGAGGATGCAAATACACATATGTGGAAATTCATATCAACCAAACACATCCATCTATCTATCTATCTATCTATCTATCTATCTATCTATCTATTTCTGTCAGTTCATATATATCTATTGTGATCTGTTCATTATTTCTCTCTTTCTATCGCCATCTGTACATTATCTATCTATCTATCTATCTATCTATCTATCTATCTATCTATCTATCTATCTATCTCAGTCTGTTCATTATCTCTCTCTCTCTATATCTATCTACCTACCTATCTCAGTCTATTCATATCTATCTATTGCGATCTGTTCATTATCCCTCTCTATCTATCTATCATATCTATCTATCTATCTATCTTCTATCTATCGCAATTTGTTCATTATCTATCTATCTCTCGATCTGTTCAATCTCTCTCTTTCTCTAACTATCACACTCTGTTCTTATTCATTATCTACATTATCTATCTATCTATCTATCTATCTATCTATCTATCTATCTATCTATTTATCTATGCCTTTCACCTGATGTCATTTTCATAAAAATCTTAAGTGCTTCCTATGCATTTCTCACTCCGGTTTTACCTACCTACTTACTATCTACCTACTTACTATCTACCTGGCGATATACGAATAACTTTGTCCACCCCCCTCTCTCTATCTCTGACTTTCCGTTATTTTCCTATTTTTCTTTCTGAACATGTAATTTTCATAAAAGTCTTGGGTTCTTTGATTGGCTGATTCTCTACAATGCCATTTATGAATAAGCCAATATGTTCAAGTAACCGCATCTCCGTTTAATCTACGAAATAAGGAATCACATTTACCCTTTTATACATTTATACAATTTTTTATGTATCATCTGTACGCAGGACCTTTACGTGTTCGACAAAAGGCTATAAAATAGATTCCCCAGTTCGATTTAAACGAAAAGCTCTTGAAAAATTAACTCCTTTTGCGAGATTTTCTTAGGAATTCTAAGGAATTCTACTGTTTATGGGTTTTCGTAAAGATGCTGTCTACAAATTAGATCAACGGTTTCACAACTTATACTCCGAGAATAGGATCCAGTCGGCAAACGGAAATTATTCTTTCTTAAAGCCATTCGGTCCTTGCTGGTCCTGTATGCGGTTTTATTTGCTATTATATTCTTCTATGTGCCATGTTCCTTATGTAATTTGACGATCATGGCTCTCCACAATTTCCTGTTCTTTGTAGCTCTTGATAAATTTTGTATTTTTCTTATCTCTCCTAAACTTTCTTCTACCATCCATTTACTGACACTCGCTAGGTAGGTTATGCGTTATTTTCCTCTGCCTCTTTTCCCCACAATCATGTCATGTGAGTATCAAATTTTCAAAACCCTTATTATGTGCCACAGAAATTTCAACTGTTTCTTCCTGATATTAAGTAGACTTAAGTAGTGACTTTCATGTCTCCATTGTCTCTAAAACTTCGGTCCATGGTATTCTCAGCATCATTCTGTAGAAACACATTTCTGCTGCTTCTTCATCTGTGAGGAGATTGTCCAGCATTCACTGCCACATAGGAGGACTGATATTACATAACAGTTCAGTACTCTTTTCTTTGTTTCTCTTGCTTTAAGTCTCTTCTTTATCTGTGAGGAGATTGCCTCGTATTCACTGCCATATAGAAGGACTGATATTACATAACAGTTCAGTACTCTTTTCTTTGTTTTCTTGCTTTAAGTCTCTTCTTTATCTGTGAGTAGATTGCCTCGTATTCACTGCCATATAGAAGGACTGATATTACATAACAGTTCAGTAATCTTTTCTTTGTTTTCTTGCTTTAAGTCTCTTCTTTATCTGTGAGGAGATTGCCTCGTATTCACTGCCATATAGAAGGACTGATATTACATAACAGTTCAGTACTCTTTTCTTTATTTCTGTTCCTTCAAGTCTCTTCTTCATCTGTGAGGAGATTGTCCAGCCTTCAATGCCATACAAGAGGACTGATCTTGCATAAAAGTTTAGTACTTTCTTCTTTGTTTCTAATCAAATTATCCAGTTTCTTAATACTTTGCTTAGCTTTTGGAAGACATAGTTTGCTATTGCAATACATCTTTGTATTTCAGTATCGCTCTTTCCATCCTTTGTTAAAACACCTCCCAGGTATTTAAATTGTTGCACCTGTTTGATTTCGATTTTCTGTATTTTCTAATTTGAATGTTGGGCTGCTGTTCCTATGGTTAACAATAATGCATTCTGATTTCTTACAGTTTATATTTAGTTCTTTCTTCTCGCTTCACTTTCTTCTATTGGCACTAAGTCATCTGTATACCTTATGTTAAGATTGTTGCCACCAATAATGAATCCTGGTAGGAATTCTAATTCTCTCAGAATCGCCTCACTGTATGTTGTGGTGTCCTCCTTCTAAGACTATGTTGAACTCTTCCGCCTACTATAAGTTTAGTAGGAGAGAAGGTTCGGTGAACAGTGAATAAATTGTTCATTACTGTCGAACTCTCTGCCTTGAGCAGAGAGGAACCCACATGAGACTTTGCCGAAGGGCAATGATTCGTCCGGGGAGGTAGACACGTTTAGGCGGGTTGAAAGGGAATATTTTTGGCCGAGTCTACAGGCTCAGAGAACCAAGGCTAAACTCGGCCTTGTGCCGCATACATTCCTCGTCGGTGTGGCGGGTGGGGGGCTGTTAAATATAGCAGTGAATAGATGGTCCATTACTGTCGAACTTTCTGCCTTGAGCAGAGATGAACCCGGACGAGGCTTTTCCGAAGAGCAAAGATTTGTCCGGTGTAGTCGATAGACCCTGAACCCGTTCATACGTGTTCAAAGGGAATAATTTTAGCCGAGCCTACGGGCTTGGAGAACCCACGGTAAACTTGGCCTTTGTTCCACATACATCCCTCGTGGGAGGCTGTTAAATATTAACAATGAATGGATAGAGAGCTGTTTCATACGATACACTCTCACTAGTTGTGTAATAATCATCTGACCTATTTACTGTTTATATATCTGCAAAGCTGGTTTTTGTTTTACTTAACCATTTACTTGGTCACAACACTGTATAGATTGAATAAGTCCGGCGAGGAGACACATCCTTGTCTTATACCCCTTTCTATTTTTGTGTATTTAATGAATGAATTTTCTATCCGCATGCAGGCGGTTTTATGCCAGTATAGGTCCTTGATTATTCTAATATTCTTCCCAAATATGTCAAGGTTGCCTAGCAGTTCAAATAGTTCTTTGAGGCATAATTTATAGTGGATTTAATTAGACGTCTAAATCTTAAGGACTCTCTTGCCTTGGTTGGTGACTTGTCTAGGTGAACAACTATAAATTGAAAACATTGTAGAAGTCAACAGGAAGTCATTCTACTATTTTTCGCAAGAATAAACGTGGTATAGGCAAAACAATGGAGATAATAATGAATTTTTATTAATTTCATGCAACTCTACGATTTCTACTGGTGACATGTAACCCAGTGCTATCTGCCGCATTGTCGGGTCACCAATGACTAAACTGGTTCCCCCATCAGGGTTTTGTCTGGTGACGAGTGTGGCTAGCCACCCAGCAGGATAAAAATATCTGTCAAAGGGCAGATTAACCTTATTTTAGGTTCATTGCAGTCGACTGGGCGCAATAGATATGTATGGTGGGCGGAGGGGGTGTCTTCATAGACTGACGCGAACGGCCCGGGCAGTGGGTTCGCCAAATCGAATTAACGTCTACGTGCCCGTGACCAAGGCGAGCCTTCAAACTGAATGACATCGTCTGTGGTTTGACCTGTTGAGGGATGGACTCCGTCAGGTCAACTTACCATGAATGAATACCTATCTGGAATTTAAGCCAGATATGTGGAGTGAATACGACCGAACCTGGTGATAATGGAGGGGAGAAGAGTGAGGGTGATGAATTAGTAATATGTGGTAGTGAATAAAACGTTGATAATACAAATACTGCTACAATCAAATAAGAATTGATATTTTAGATTTTGGCTTGAGTATGGTAAGGCCAATAAATTTATGTTATTCACTGTAGAGCATGGGCAATGAAGAGATAATCATTCAAAAGATATTCTTCTTCTTCTATTATGTGCCGTATCTCTTCGTGACGATGGTGATCATGGCCTTCCTCAACTTCCTATTCTTTATAGCCGTGAGTAAGATGTCTCTGTCCACCCAATCCCTGATCCGCCATAGTGACAATAAGAATTAAATATATAAATACTTTTGCATTCGGTAAGGAGATCCCTCGCTGCTTTTTTTTTTTCTCCTTTTGACTTTAATATTCTCCAAGCCCTCTATCTTCAATATAAAATCTAGAAATTTCAACCATTGCAGTTTAATCCTTTCTTCTCGCTTTTCTTCGCTACCTTCTGTAGGAGATTATCTAGTTTCCTTTGTGTGTCTGCTATCAACACTGTTTCATCTGCATATCTTGTTAAGATTGTAGTCGCCAACTATGAATTGAATCCTGGTAGGATTTCTCTCAGAATCACATTGCTGTATAGATTGAATAAATCCGGTAAGAAGACACATCCTTGTCTTACATCACTTTTTCTTTGTTTCTAACATAGTTTTCCTGTCTCATATTACTCTGCTTAGCTTTTGGAACGCAACATTCCATCCTCAGATAAAACACTTCCAAAATATCAAAATCAAACAGGTACAAAAATTTTAATATATGTAAATTTTAATTTGCATTTGGGACCCATTCTTTTGCTAACAACCATGCATTCTGTCTTCTTGGGGTTTAATTTTTTCTTCTCGCTTTCCTTCACTACCTTCTGTAGGAGATTTTGTAATTTCCTTTCTGTGTCTGCTATCAACACAATATCATCTGTATACCTTATATTGTTAAGACTGTGGCCGCATATAATGAATCCTGGTAGGACTTCTAGTTTTCTCACAATTGCCACTATCTAATTAAAATATGTCTTTTCTTTTCCATTTTCTTTAAAACTTCGTCCTTTTTTCACATCTTCTGTCCACGGTATTCTCAGCATCCTTCTGTAGAGACACATTTCTGTTACCTCAAGTCTCTTTTCCATCTGTGAAGAGATTGTCGAACATTGCTATAAATTACAAAAGACAGGAAGTTGTGGGGGGCCATGACGACCCACGTCCTGAAGGGACATGGAACATAAAAGAAGAGACAGGTATAGTCAATAAGCATTGGTAAAACAACAGGTGTTAACTCGGTGTATGGCATAAACTGTTCAGTATTCAGAAGAATTGCAAGAACACCTCAAATCCAACGCTATTTGCGAAGATAATAGTATTTTCAATTTTAGCAATATCCAATTATGTATCAGCGAATATTTTAGTTTCGAAAAATGCATTAGATTAATCTAAAATTGACGTCTTAACTCGGATTAACTAAACACTGATGAAGATTCTTTTGAGTCTGAAGATATAATTTTGTGGTTTTATTGTACTGACGCAACAGAGACGTGAATGGTTTCATTAATCAGTTAAAAGACGATCTGAAAAATAATAGGGAAAAAAAGGATGAAAAGAAATATCATGGGTTTTGCCATCGGATA